CAAGAGTAGCTCAGTGGGATCTGCTAGGGACTCGTCGAACATCATATCTTTCTTCAAGGCTCTTCGTGAAGAAATCTGACCATCAGGTCTGTGCTCTTCCTGCAGTACGTTTGACATCCCGAGGAATCCAACCACTAACGGCTCTTGTTCATCGGTTGTCATTCATGGGCATTACGTGTCCGGCCCACCTTACCTTCGACTCTTTGGCGTACAGAACGGTTCTTTTTTTTCATCCTTGAGGCAGATTGGAGCTTCGGATCCCATGCCCTACTTGTGTGGAACGGGATACTCCTAGCATCGTCCTTTCGGCTACGCTTTCGATAACGCTGAGTGATATTTTCATCCTGCTTACGCAGCGACCAAGTTTCGGCCGCAAAAGTTAACGCAGCAAGTACTATTGAACAGAACAGGTGGGCACGGAGTCGAGTGTTCTTTGTTATCTTCACTAGATCCTCGATGCTCTTGAAAGCTCCCCAAGCCGCTCGTTTCCTTCTGTTCAGCTCTGAAGCTATGTTGTTCATTATACTCATTTCCCGACCTAGATAGATACAACTAGAGCATTCGGAGATATTCGTTCCGTTGAGCATGAATGTGGCATTGGAAAGCAATCCGTTCTTCATGAGTATCGTTTTTGTGAGATTTAGTCGAAGACCAATCTTTCCACAGGCTTTATCAAAGTCGTCAAACATACGTTCCGCTTGGCTAAAGTTTGGTGCTATAAGGACGATATCATCAGCGAAGCGAAGGTGGTGTAACTGCCAATCATCGTTTGTCACTCCACATTATCCCATTGCAATGTTCGCGTGACGTTCTGGAGGATGGCGATAAATAATTTTGGCGAGATGGTATTCCCTTGCCTAACTCCTCTTTTGACGTCAGTGTTAATATCGTTGTAGAATGGTGATATCTTGGTTGTGAAATTTTTGTACAGTTCACGAAAAATCTTTATGTACTGAGTAGGGACTCCTTGACTATCAGGGGCTTCCAAAACTACTTCTATGTCAACTGAATCAAAGGCGATCTGTAAATCGATGAAAGTGAGACAGAGTGGCCTTTTATACTCTCGCGACACCTCAATGAGCCTTGTTACCGTGTGGATGTGGTCCATCCTACTAAATCCTTTTCGAAACCCTGCTTGCTCACATGGCTGTCCTTCGTCTACTGCTCTGTCAATCCTGTTTAGTATGACTCGAGTGAAAAGTTTGTAGACGGCAGACCGTAAGCAGATTGGGTGATAGTTGCCGACATCGTGTAGGTTACCTTTCTTGAACAATAACACGGTCTTGTTGGTCTTCCACTGAGTAGGGACCTTCCATTCGGAGAGGTAACACGTGAACAGTCGGGCCAGTGTGTTTATGAGGACTGGCGTAAGGTTCTTCAGGTGTCCTGGTCTTATTCTCTCCGGGCCTGGTGCTGTTCGATTTTTCACCTGCGAAAGGGCATGTTGGATTTTGGAAGGGAGAACCGGTAGTGCAAAGATATCCATCCTCCTTTATTTCTTATGACGGAACGTGTACGTGGCTATCGAAGAGATCCGAGTAGTATTCGTGAATGATTTTCTCCATGGCCTTTCTGGACTCTAACTGTTCCGTCTGGGTGTCGGAGTGCAGTCATTTTGGTATTGTAATTGACGAAGTGTCGGTGTGCTTTACGAATACTTTCCCAGCCTCTGCAGCTTCGACCATTACTGCTGCTCTTCTCTCCTTACGATGTACTTTTATCGCCTACCTGCATTGTTTTGCTGGTTCGGACGTTAGTTTGCGGTTGCCTGAAGCTCGTGGGAATCCATGCTGGCGTATCAGCTCGAGTGTTTCTGGAGAGAAACGTCTCTTGGTGACTTTCGAACTCTCAGCTTTCATAGCGCTAACGTGAAGTTGAATGTTGAATGAATCGATTGTATTCTTCGTCGATGTTATCGACAACGGTATCTTCCCAACAGCCGACTAATGAATTGAATAAGTCCCAATTTGCGGTGGTTCTGCGACTTTGGTTTTGGAATTTAGCGGCTTTCTTTCCTTTCCGCGAGAGATAGAATCTTACACGAAGGAGACGATGGTTTGATCCCTTGTAGAATTTTGGGAAAACAGCGACTTCGGTTGGACAAAACCTATTTACTATGATGTGGTCTAATTCGTTATGGCACTCTCCACGTCCAGCGCTAAGGGTACGGCTTCTGGAATTGCGAGTTACCACGGATTGTCTTGGTCGCCGTGATAAACTCAGATAGCCGCTCACCCTGTTCGTTCCAATCTAATGCGTGGCTGTCAATGTGACGTTCTTCAGACCTTCTTCTTGGCACAATCATGGCGTTGAACTCTCCAATGATGGCCTTGAGGATTGTATAGTCTCCTTTGTAGAACTTCTCCAAGTTAATATAGAACGCTTTGAGTTTTTCTTCGTCATAGTTTGATGTCGGCGCCTAAACGACGAAGATTGTCAAAAACCGATATTGATCCACGTCTTTTTAATCGTAAACGTCCGATTCGGGTTGTAGGCTGTTTGAATGAATCGATGTTCATGGACAAACTCGTGTTAGTGAGAACGCCAACGCCGACGCCGCCGGCTCCTCTACTGTCGCTTGTTCCTAGGAACAGTTCTTGTTCGGTGTCATAGACGGCGTTGAAAGGCTGGCGTCTCCTCGTCTTGGCCAGGCCGATGACGTAATACTTTATCCTTCTTGCTTGCATAAGCAAGTCTTCTATCGAGGACTCGGATGCAAATGCACGTGCATTGTAGGTACAGATCATTACCATAGTTCTTTGAAATCTATGCAGCTTCCATTGGTCCTGAAATTTTAGCAGCCTCACCGTAGTCGCCATTTGGGGCTCTTTTGGGGTTAGGGGAATGAGGCCCGTTTTTTCTCCTTTACTGTGTTTAGCATTTCTGATACCCACGTTTGGCTTACTGGACTCTGAACGTGGGGACTGAGTATAATCACGGGTAGCTTGCCAGTCTCTCTGAGAGTGGCCATGGAGCTTATTTGTTGGAGGCAACTCCTAACCGCCTCCCATACACTTCCCAGTCACTTGTTTGTAGGCTTTCGGCCGAATTGACTCGTAGAATACAATTCGCATAAGCAAGAGCGCACCCACACACGCACGCTTGAATACGCCTTGCAAATACAGAAGGTATGTGCTAAATTAACGCAGCAGAAGCGGGGATTCCATCCTGTGTTCACCTGCGTCTCAGAGAAGCAAAGGTCGCTTTTGGTCAGCGATTAACCTCCTATCCGCCACCTAGGGACGTGCCACGTAGCCTCGCGACTAACCGGTTCGAGATCCCTCATATGAGGGAGATCCGTGGTTTATGTAGTGAATTCAAATGCGATCACTGGTTTTTAAAAATGTCTTTAGTGGATTCTGAAACTGATTAAATTTATTTCTTTCTATTTCTGTTCAGCAAGCACGAGGTGTTATTTTATTTCTTTACTTACGTACAAGCTGACGTTTTGGCGGATTTCGTCTTCCTTAAAGCCTGAAAAGGTCAAGTTGACTACAATCTACACGGCAAAACACCTCCATAGTTAAGCGGAGAAAATGCTGAACCAAAATTTCGATGACATAGAACACAGAGTCTTTCACATCACTGCTTTCTATGACTCTTCCACTAAATATGTCACTTGGAGACCCAGTCTTATATGCTGCCCAATATCGCGCGTGATAACGAGGCATTCCTCCCTCCTGTTCATTTTCGGATTCTTGGAATTAATCCAGAATGCCTCAAGAGTTTTGCGCGCTTGTGCTTTCGATTCTTGCGCGAAGATCTTAACCCCTACTTCAAAATCTTCTTCGTTATGTCTTTGCTTCCTATGCGTGTCCAGTGGAGTATTTTGTTTGCTCTTGCCAAAAGAAATGATTAAATTTAAGTTCTAAGTGCTATAACTGACCATGAGACTATTAAAATAATCGTCGGTTTCTCGTCATCCCATTGTACAACATCAAATGTGTATGTGTAATATTTTATGAAAATATTTACATTTCATCTACATGGTTAAAATGCGATTTGCCGCATGTACATGAATCTTTCACTCGTGAATTGCTGTTGTTACGATATCCGCAAGGAATGATTTTGATCTGATCTGTTCCATCCCATTAACCTTTTGCCATTCGATATCTTGATCGGTATCTGGTATCGATTCTGTTCTTATCGATCTAACGGTATTTATGTCAAGGTGGTACTGAAAATTTAACGGCCTCTTCTTCGTTTTCCCGACAATGTTTAAGTGTTACATCGTAATGCTGTTCGGTGCATTTCGCTTTATTTTTGTGCCCACTCATCCTTCCAATGTTACAGCGTTTTCGTACCGCCAACGCTCGCCTTGAGGATATTTTAAGGACAAAGTGATGCTCCGCCCGGGCAAACGCTGAACGCCACATCAGTTCGTCCGTCCGTCCGTCCGTCCGTCCGTCCGTTCGTTCGTTCGTTCGTTCGCTACTCACTCCTGTTCTACAGAATCGTCTCTTATTTTAACATTCATCTCAAAAACTCAAAAGAACTTCATGACTACAAATGGTTATAAGGTGTTGTTCATGATCTCTGGTATTGTAGCCCTTTTGTAAAGTTTTATTGCCCACATTCCGTTGTCCGTATAAGAATTGAAGCTAAGCGCTACTTGAATTAGTGTGATGTCTATTCCTTCAGATTCGTTGAACTAAAGTATATCATATTGAGAACAGGCACAAGTATTGTCCCTTCAGCTGTTACGAAGTTATTATGGTCAACTTACCGTGTCATTGATCCAAGAAATTATCAGTGATCTTCTAGTTTAATGCAGAAACTATGAAGAAAGAAATACGAGGAAAAGAAAGAGGGAAACAAACCATGAAGAGGACAAATAGTAGGGCTCATTGACTCGCTTAGTGGATTTTTCTTTTCAGATCTTTTTTTAAGCTGGAATAGATTTGGTAGTATTAAATCGATTTAGCCAATTCCTCATTTTCGCTTGTCTCATGTCGTTTCATTAATTTCTTTCGCTTCAGAGATTTCATATTTTAGGTAAAATGTCCGACGAGGAGGAGCAATAGTGAGTAAATTATCCGGTGAACTATATAACTAAATAATATGGATTTCAATAGAAGAATTTCAATAAAAATAGCACTGAGACTAGACTGGAGAAAATTCTGTACAGAAAGCTTTTATGGAAGAGTAACTGAAAAATCTGCTTCAGTTCCGGTGAGGAGGAAGAGGAAGAGCAACCCGAAGCCGAGGAAGAGGCGGCCGAGGAAGAGAGCAAGTGTGTCTATTGTTTTAACGAAAAAGAATAATACTGAATTTTTTTCCTTTTTACGCATTTATTGCTTTGAAATTATTTGCTATTATTATACAATCCTTTATTGGTATATGGAAACATCTGTGTAAATAATGATATTTATTTGCAACTTGTACGTATTGTTAGAGCCGAAGAACATGAGCAGTCAACACAAGAAGAAGCCGATATAGAAAAGTACGTCTCTCAACTATGCATAGGTTCTACAAAATTCGTTCATCTTTTAACAGATCAATAAATAAATCACTAGGGGTTTTCAAAATCTTTAATCTGCAGATATGGCCCACCAACATATATCATGCCGCTTTCCTTCAATTTTGAAAAGATGGCATGTAGGGTTTAGTACGATCATCTAGATGATAGCTGACATAATCTATCGAATAAAAGCCGGAAAATTCCGGGTGCTGTTAGAATAATGGTGTTCAAGACAATAGAGATAATTTAAGGCCAAAGGCACGTCCTCCACCTCAACAACAGGAAGAGAAACCGCCTGCTGAGATGACTGAGGCTGAAGCTGCAATGATGGCAAGTTACTTTATTTCAGATCTTGTTTAAATGGTTTTTATTATAAATTATTTTGCTTTAGGCTGCGAAGAAGCGTCATGAGGAAGAAGAGGCGGCGAAACTTCTTGACTACGAACAACGACGAATGCTGGAAAAAGAGCGCATCGAGAATGAACTCCGTGAATTGAAAGAAAAACAGGAACGTAGACGTGCAGAAAGAGAGGCTGAGGAGAAGGAGTTCGCCGAGAGACGTCGGCAGGATGAGGAACGGCGTCGAAAAGAAGAAGTTCGCTTTAATACTCAGTTAATGTTAAACAAAGACACAGTCACGATCTTCACAGTCCGTGATTCCACAGAAATGCGCAGTATATAACTATTGTTCGAATTCAGTGTTATACTCGAGTTCATAATCTTTTACTAACTTTCATGATTTGTCCGAAAAATGCAAACTTTATCTGCAAATGTTTAAGGAGGAACGGAAAAGCAGGGCTGATGCTGAGAAGGCTCGTAAAAATGAGGAGAAGTCGCGTCGTCAACAGATGATGGCTGGCTCATTTGCAGCTCATGCATCTGGAAGTGAAGGACGCAACTTTAAGATCAATTCAAAAGGAGAACAAGCAGCTCAGTTTGGAAATTTGGCACAAGTAAGTTTTTTCATAAAAGCTCCTAAGTATGCCGGAACAACTAACTGATGTGATGTTGGCATGATCTTCAATGAGCATGTTAAGTGCAAATGAACGCATGGTATACGAGCGCTATGACTATCGAAATAGATGAATTAGTTCCATTGGTAGTAGAGAGCTGTACAAGTTTCCTATAGAGTTCAGGTTAAGGCTTTTTTGATCTTCTAACAAATACGTTTGAAAACTAAGTTTAGGGAGTGAAGCAAGACGGCCAAACAAAAGAACAGCAAGAAGAGGCGAAGGCAGCATTCCTTGCTGCAGTGTGCCGTCCTGTTGACATATCCGGACTTCTTCCAAACGATTTAAAGGAGAGAATCAAGCAGCTTCACTCACGCATTTGCAAGTTAGAAGCTGAAAAGTACGATCTCGAGAAACGTCACGAGCGGCAGGAATATGATGTATGCACTACTTATTTTAATTCGTTAAATGGCTTCTAATCTCATCTAAACTTGGTAGAAGCTTGTGCAACGGAAAATGAACAACTATACCTGCCGTTAGAATGTCTCTGCCTAAAATTTTTGAGGGATTTTAGGTTCTTAAAAGGCCACGAAAATGGACTATGCTGTTACGTGCGAATAATGCTTAGCTCTTAGTGTGTACTTGCATATCATCAAAATTTCAGATGAAAGAGTTGAACGAACGTCAACGTCAGGTAGCAAGAAACAAGGCGCTTAAAAAGGGACTCGATCCTGAAGAGGCAGCCTCGTCGTTGCATCCTCCAAAAATCACCACCGCGTCTAAGTTTGATCGTCAGATCGATAGAAGGTATTTGGCTTAAGGAATATTTTAAGTGCTCTTGTTGATAGGATATTTGGTTGGATGTTCCAACAGTTATTCATGAACTGTGTTGTCTAGTGGAACAAAAGGCGTTTGCTGGAAGCACTGAGATCCACGATCTTTATTTCTGTTGTAGACTCTCATTAGTCTCATGGAGGCCAGCTGCAAATTGTTGGGAGCCGTTCCACAGCTTTTTTTTATACGTATGTTCTATGAGCGACAAACCCCGACTGGTGAGCGTTGAGGTGTCAGCGCGAATTTCAGCTATATAGCTAGGAGCGATGTTTTGAAATAAACAGCTGAACGCAAGCACATGCCGTTTACAAGAGATCGTCGGTTTCTTCAAGCTATCCGAGGATTGACTAATATGCCTTTCCTCTCTTTTTGAATTCCTTTTTGAATGATTAGCCTCATAGCTATTGGTTAAATGCCATAATTATTGTACAGCATCCCTAAACAAGTACACTTCTACTGGGACAAAACCATAGCAAAGAGTGACTGTAAATAAGAGAGTGAACCAGTTCACGTTCTGCAGATCATACGGTGATCGTAGAGAGCTGTTTGAGCACCCGGTTATGAAGAAGCCTCCAAGCATTGCTAGAGGAACCGCAAGACCTCCACCTGAATGGGGAAGAAAAGAAAACGAGGAACTCGAGCAGCTGAGGTGAGAATGTTTTAACGACTAGCTTTCTCCAACAGTGCGACATGGGCTTCAATTCCACATTGATTAATATTCCAGAAAGAATCTAGAGCCACCAAAGTACGTTGAACAAGTGAAGGCCGAAGGTGATGCTGCTCGTCCTCCTGTTCAGGCTATTCCACTTCAGTTGCCTGATAAGGATTTCGAAGATGAAGACGTTGCACCACCACCAGCACTTGAGGAGGTAACAGCTGAGGACGTAAGTCCTCTTTCTCTCGTTCTTTAGAGCAAAAATTAACTGATTTTTGGATATAGTTGGACAAAATGAATTTGCTGGTGAGGGAGAAATCGATAAATCGGTGCCGTTGTTTTCGGATGAAAACAATTGGAAAGAGTATTTTTAAATGCATCATATCTCAGCACATTCTTTAGTTTACAGGATGCTGCTGTTAGCGAAGAAGTACTGCAGGCGAAAGTGAAGGCGAAATAACTTAAATGGATCGAATCAAAACACAATGCATTTTTCTAATCTTCCATGTTTTTCTAAAGTCTGTAATGAACTTGCTTTGCTTCTTATTCTAGCTTGCCTCTAGCTGAGGAAAAAATACAGAGAGAACAACACGCATTGGTGTGTCGATCTCCGTACGTCGTAATCATTCATCATAGTGAATTATACACGCTGAAATTTATCATAACTATCTAATCCCGTTGGAAGCGTTTTTATCATCAACACTTTCTTTCTTTGTAACAACAACTGCAGTTTGTTTCTGGAGCACCGTCCGTCTTAAGCAAGATGAATGATTAAATGCTGGAGTTTTGACCCGTGTGCTATTCTGTTTTCTCTCCGAGATGCATATTTATTCATGTGTTGTAGTTCAGTGCTTATATCTTTTCTTTTTTCACATTAAATGTTTTGAGTTTTTTTGCCGTTTGTTTCAGTATGGACTGCTTAACTAAAAAAATGGACACCTTAGTGAAAACAACTTAAAACACTAAATGATAGCTTAACCCTTTTATTTACTGACTTTTTCTTTTTAATGGCAGGGTTTGTTGCGAAATATAACTCGTATATAATGCTGAGATATTTGCAAAACTCCGGACCGCAAGTGTATACGGTGCGGAACGAACTCGCGCTGTTGTCCCTTCCGGGGAGTAGCGCACTTCACCACCACACCATCCGGGTCCTTCGTTTTGCCTGTCTCTCGATGCCTTGAAGGACCGGGATGGTGTGCTGGTGAAGTGCGCTACTCCCCGGAAGGGACAACAGCGCGGGTTCGTTCCGCACCGTATACACTTGCGGTCCGGAGTTTTGCAAATATCTCAGCATTATATACTAAATGCTAGATCCAAACATTCAATTTTGTCATAGACGTTCAATGTTGCCACAGTTATTTCTTTATTTGTATGAACCATTTTCACTCTGTGCTCATTCAATTCGTTTCCTTCTATGCTGTATCCAAAATAGTCTCCGGACTTGCCTGATTGTCCAGCCACCAGCTGCGAATTTTTCTACTTCATGGGTATTGTTGAACTTTGGACGAGTTATTCTTCACTGGAATCTTGGGATAGCTCTACTAGAGTGTTCTCACGTGTTCATCGGAAGCAGTCACCAAGCTTTGCCGATCGGCAAGAGCTTTTGCAGACGGTGGATTTATTAACCTGGTTTGCCCAGTGCGTGCTAGGTGCAAACAAATACTATGCGCATATTGCTAGATGTCACTGATCACTGTATTTCCAGATCCTTGTCATCTCTTTGAGAAGAGAAATTGATAATCGAAAAGAGTATACTGTGACATTAACTACTGATGCGTACCCTTAATTTTTCATCATTTTATACACAGCAAACGGCCTTTGTCGTTCATCAGGATCGATCTACCTCGAATGACCAATTCCAGCAGCTGATCTTTAAGTACTCCACTCATTTTTTCGAATTTCTAGTGGTTATTATCTGCGTTGATAGTTTCACTAGAAATGAAAAAATTGTAGTGATTTTTCATCTGGCGAATCCAAAAAATTGTCAAGACTGTTTTCTACCTAATCTAGCAGGAGCTGTATCAAGAGTTCATCACCGTGCAGCGGAGTTGTCCATTCAAGATTGTGTTAATTCTCGTATAAAAGGTATATTCGCGGCAACTTGTCAAGATACAGTCTTCTTTGCGAAAGAAGGAAAAACGCAAAGAAATCTTTGTAATGAACATCTTCTTGCTTTTTATGCACTTCGTACGGTTCCGTTCTGTGGAATTTTTCTTAACTTTGAATTCCGGTTGAGATGTTTCGAAACTGTCAAGTGGGATGGTGCAACCACATGCGACTATAATCAGCTGTTCTAAACTTCCTCATTGGAAGTCACGAAAAAGCGGCTCTGAAGAAGGCGATACTGCCGAAACGTCAGCTAGCGTTGTATTGTATTGTGTTTTTGTGGAAGTAAATGTATGCTGTTTAAAAACCTCGCGATTGCTGAACAAGAAAACGACACATTCATATTCCAATGCCGAGGTTAAGAGAAAGTCGATCCTGGGAACTATTACAAGATCAATTTTATCGAATAAGCCTCCCAGCAAGTTGCCGTGTCCGGAACAGACGGGTGGATTTGTTGGCCAAGGGTGAGAGCGAATAGACGACCACAGCTGTATTGAGTGGCATCTTTAACCACTGAATTTCTCGCTTCCATTTTACAATTTCTCTTCAAAGTTCGCTCCTATTGTAATATCATTTAAGCAAACAAATGGAATGATAGTAGAAAATCCACAAATTCCAGTACTTCTTATCTGCATATAAAGTTGAATTTGAAATCCTCAAGTATTCTTGTGTTATAAATGTTGGACTTAGAGAAGAAGCTGTAAACAAACATAAGTGCATGATTAGTTTCAGATTTTTATGTTGAATAGAAAAGTACTGAAATATGAAAAAGACGAAGACGATTTGATATCAACGACTATGACCATTTAAAAACGTTAATTGAAGGAGTTTCACACGCAAAAGAGCTTTTGGGAGAATAAGGCGCCAGCAGAAATACAGTTTCGAAACATCTCAACCGGAATTCAAGGTTAAGAAAAATTCCACAGAACGGAACCGTACGAAGTGCATAAAAAGCAAGAAGATGTTCATTACAAAGATTTCTTTGCGTTTTTCCTTCTTTCGCAAAGAAGACTATATCTTGACAAGTTGCCGCGAATATACCTTTTATACGACAATTAACACAATCTTGAATGGACAACTCCGCTGCACGCCTCACTTAAAGTTGGAAGATCTTCGTAGACAATGGATGAGAGAAAACAAATTGGATGTTAAAAGACACGGGATCCGCACAGTAGGCGTAAAGGCGGGTCAAATAAAATAAAATAAATAATATTAAGAAGAGTCGGAAGCGGTGACTGAAATACCACCGGGCACTCTAAGACACAAAGGTAGTTTTCAACCGTTTGTGTGGTAGTCTATAAGCAACGTACGACAGCATAAATTGTCCTAACGGTACGACAGAAATTGCAAGAGTTAAGTTACTTTCTACCTATTTCCTTATGCAGTGTGTTGGAACGAGTAGGCTGGATGAGTGGATAGACCTCAAGATGTTAAAAGATGGTTAGGTTACGTTAATGAAATTTGTCCAGTGATACCTCTTTTTGCCTCTCTACGATTTAGCGCTTTGTCGTGACAGGGAGGTGTTCCTGGATATCGGGTTGTGATGTACAACGGAGGATTAACCTGACAGAGTCTTCCAAGCTAAGAACGAGTCTGGACTTTTCACCAGGAAGCCCAGGTAAGAGTAACCATCACCAATACCAGGATCCACCACGGTTCTGGTATCAAAGTAGTCGCATAGTGGCAAATCTCTCTCTGATCCACAAAGGCAGCGACTGCCTGTGGTGGTGGTGATCTGGGGCAGACTTTGGCCAGGCTGACTTCCAGGGAAATGTATTGGCTAAACCAGCAAAACTCTGAAAAATGGAGATTATACCTGTGTGCACATAACCGGTGAGGACAGGCCGTCCAAATAACCAAGTAAGTAGGATACCTTTTTCTACTTACTATCTACTACAATTTCTCAACGCAGAGATTATGTGAAATACGACCACAGTGATTCTGGGATATTTGCAAAAGTCCGGACCACATGTGTCTGCGGTAGGGTTCGAACACGCTATTATCATTTCCGGAAGCAGGCGTGTTCACCACAACACCAAGTACGTTCTTCGTTGCGTCTTTCTATCACCTATTCTTCTATCTACCAGTGTCATCAGTAATCAACCGTCAAGGAGATTTATTCAGACATTACCTTGATGAGAAAAATTGTAGAAGATAGCAAATAAAAATCTAACATTGTGAGTTCTACTATTGCTTCAGATTAACTGGGTTCAATCACAATTTCTGCTTCCCAGATCAAGCCCGTTGACGGTGGTTTGCTAATGGCACTGGTAGGTAGAAAACTATCTATGGAAAAGGCTAAACGAAGGACCCGCCCGCATGGTGTGGTTACGCTTTCGCCACCGAAAAGGATAAAAGCGTGTTCGATCCTCACCGCAGACACCTTCGGTCCGGAGTTTTGCAAATTTCTCAGCATCAGTATTGTTTTATGCATTGAGTTCTTTCTACTTCTGTTATGGATGTGTTTGGTTGAGTGGATTGCGTATCATGCTGACCTTTCCAAGCTTTGAAAAATGAGAAATCGCCGAGCCACTGGATATTTTGAAGAAATGCTGTAATAACAACCTCGCGCCTGCTCATGAAGAAAATAATGGCTAACGAATATTTTCTTTTACTACGCCATCTATAGCGAAAGTTCAAGTTTCGGTACAAACATTACTAAACAATCCAGATAATGAACAACTGTGAATAGTGATACACAAATCCTAATGAGTCACTCACTATGTTTTTTTTCTCTAACGGTACTATCACCAATCACCCATTGAGGGGAATAACCTGGAGGTCACAAATCGGCATTGAGCTCAGTTAAGCTGAAGAGAGAGTCGAAATCACAACGTTTAGCTTTATTCACTGTCAATTCTTTCTTCTATGGCACGGTAATATGTCAGATGCAGCTAGAAAGGTGGAGAGCTATGAGCAAAACTTGGAACGTGTGGACTTCGAACTCACGACTTCTCTTTCAGGGGCTCACGTGCTGGTTTTCCACCAACTGAGGCCTTTGAGTGACCTTTCGCCTACCAAATTTTTTAATCTAACTTTTCCATCTGCGGTCACCAGTTAACTAAAACGGTCTGGAGAGCTGAATTCGGAACTCAGCCAAGTTAAGACGTGTGATTGAAGACAGAAGTATTTTTTTACACGACCAGTATTTCACATCTACTGTGCGAATCTCAACATTCCCGTCTTCGATTTATTTCCTGTTATCCCTCGTCAACGAAGGCCTTCGAACTTTTTGCGTGTGATTTCGGCTGCCGCTTGAGGATTTCCTTCGATCTTGAATGTCGTTGAAGGGCCGTAGAGTCGATCTTCGGATTTCTGAGATAGCCGATATAGAGCGTTCCCATTTGTACTACAGAGAGTCAATTTTTCTTAGACTAGTCTGATACTAATTTCCGGACCTCACATGGATAAGGGGTTTAGTAAGCACAAATCGAGGTCTAAGCAGCACCGCTCTCTTATTCACCGTCATCACTACCACTGTGCAACTTTCTTCTTGATGGCATCACTAGAGTAAAAAACTAGCTGACGAAAAAACAAAAAAGGGTCATGGTTAGCGTAGTGTATGCCACGTAATCCAGTTCTCTGAAAAGGGAATGGCAAATTGGAAGCACAACAAAGGTTCCAACCTTTATTCATATCTTAGCATACTCGTGGCTCATCCATATTCTATTTCGCTGTGTATAGTGCTGTCAATGGTTCTATGTTGGAAAATTTCTAGCGTGTTAATAGTTAGTTTGCTGGACCACCTAGATGAGTTAAATCAGCTATAGAATCAAGATGAACGGTAGATTTACGTGTGGCACGGATATGGGCTCTGCGTTCATTGTAGAACATCCAGACCAGCGAAACATCTTAGAAATGTGGTACTTATTTTGCAACAAAAACTATAAGACGTTGACACACCAGCATCATATCGATGCGAGGTCGTTATCATGGTGAGTCATCTAGAAATGGGCCATTTAAGAGGAAGTTCACGCTATCACGGAGCACTGTTACTCACATCTCGTAGCTATGCATGTTGTTCACTACCCGGTTTGTTACATCTTGCTCATTGATTCTTGTAGATTGGAAGTGTTCACTGTCTAATTTATATTTCACAATCTTAAACATCAAAATCACCTGATTTAGCCGGTACCATGTGCGATTCCAATCCATGAGCAGTTGAGGGATGGATGTGAAATCGATATACATGGGGAAGTTCGGCATGGACATCATAAGTTCGTTTTCTTTATTAACCTGGAACGACTATTATACTAATCTCTGAAATATTAAATTTTCTTAGGCTCGAGTGGGAGGTCGGAGCATCTAAAGTTTATGATAGAGAAGTGTTGAAACTTTATTGCTCCTAGTTAGAAAACAACCACAGGTACAAGGGTATTGTTCTTCCAGAGTAGAAGTGAAAGATTTATTTGTGGGTGACAACGTATCGTCTACAGTGCACTTTTGAGCAGTCTGGTACCCATTTTTCAAAAAAATCGATCATTACATGACTATGTAGATGCAGATATAGAAAGCAGAAGTGAATCTAGTGCTGTAAAATAGGAAGCACGGCTGTTTGAAGCTACGTGCTGCTCAGAAAACGGTATTGTTGCTTTGGTCTGAGTTCCCTCTGATATTCTCCATCCAAAGGCAGGCCGTCTACCATAATCGGCTCGCAATCATTAGATGGAAGAGATCGGTGGGATAACAAGGTGTAAATATAATAGTATTATTACACTTTCAGAACATTTCAATAAAATCTAAAGCTGTCCTTATTAAGGATGGAAAGACGAGTGTAAAGCTAAAAAATCGTTCGCAATGCTACTTTCATTTGTTTGTTATTCTACTAGTTTTTTTCATAGGGATTTTGCTGTGGAGTTGTTATCTGGACCGCATGTTGTACTTCATATAAATTTTCGCTTTCATCATGAGCACACTGTTGTGATGAACTCATGCAGTTACGGATCGTGGGGACCAGAGGTATGTCAATATTTGCGAAAACTACAAAAGGAACTACGGAAAAATCAATATATTCCACTCTTTCGAAGACTAGGAATTTTTCAATAAACAAAGAGAACGACATGGAAAAGATATCAATGAATGAATGAAAGCCGTAGTGTTTATTTAGGTACGTCACCATAATCCACTTCATAGTCATGAGCACTTCCATTTGCATATTTACGTCCGTCAATGTCATTATGATGTAAGTACAAAGTAATTATAATCAAATGTCGATTTATAACTAGCAATTAAAATATCAATAGTTGAAAACCCAACTCTCATCAAACCTTGGTAGTATTAATCGATAATTCTTTAGATGGTTTAGCTGACCCGAGGTTCGTATTAAACAGTTAGTTACAAACTAACTAGATGAAATTTCTATTGCTTGTAACTCGTGATTGAAAAATCGTTGTACAACTAAGAATTTGGGATGAAATTATGAAAAGTAGAAAAAAAAACGAAGTCTTGATGAAGCGACGTCAACTTTATTTGGAAGAAAAATGTTTGCTAATGTTGATAACAAATTAAGATTAAAACAAATCCAGATTGAAGTAAACGGTCATCACCTGGCATCGTTTAATCACCGATTTCCCGCTGAATCTGTTCAAGCGATTGGTTTCAAGGGTGATGTTTACATCGAGAAAGTCAACTTCCGCGGTTTTCATTTCCATAGAGGTCTATATTTATACTTCGTAAAGATTCGTTAATCACTTTGTAGTTTCCTGAAAGAACATTGATACCGATTAATGTGTTGCAGATTGGAATGATATCCCCGATTATGGTCATTCCGGATATGGCGGGTACGGCACTACTGCCTACATGCCTCCAGTGGTTCGTATTTTATCATATTTCAGAGAGAGACAACCAGTTAATGGGTAAATCCATCATTAAGCTCTAAAATCGTGAAGGCCAATGATTTCAGTTCTCACCTGGACATCACTGTAATGCGTATTGGTGACAGCTTATTAGTATATCATATCAACCTCTGCATGAGAGGTGATTACACTGTAAATGTCGTTTGGTGATAAATGCTGTTTTTATGCATTTTTGTATTCGATCGCTAATGATGACACATTGAGGGCAAAGTACTTGAGGAGGAACGGAAGAACTGAAAATTGAAAATGAAAGAAAACCGAAAATGAAAAATGAAGTGAAAAAAAACGAGGAATGTACACCTGCCTGACATAAACACTTCTAGTATTTGTTACGAGCTGTTTCACTCCATATGCTAATGTAACTTGCTTTAACAATGGTGACGCTATCTATATCATGTGTGACTGCACAGCTCTCACAATGAACCATTAGGCTGAAGACCATCAAAGCGCCGCAAACGCTTATCACTTTTGTGTCCTGTAACGTCGCTTTTCAACAAGTAACTCTCATCAACATTAGCAAACTTCTTTTTGGATATAACCGTCATGAATAGCCTCCTCTTACTGAAGAAAGACGAAGAACAGCGCAATTTTGGTACATAGTCATCGATTCTCGGAATGTCCAACGTTGGCAGGTACATAGAGTTAGATCGGCTGTGTTGGGTTTCACTGCAGAGATTGTGTGCAAGCATAGATGGGCGCATGTTTTGCAGAATAGAAAAAGTATAATTCAATGTTTTTCATGAATAAGCAGACACGAGGTTGTTAATATAGAATTTATTAGAACACAATTGCTGACGTTTCGGCGGTTTCGCCTTCTTCAGAGCCTGGAAAGGTCAAATTGAGATGTGATCTACTCAGCCAAACACTTTCACAACCCTAGCAGATAAAACTTGACAATTCGATTTGCATTCGCATAAGAAACAGCTTCATTCAAACACCTACCGTTTATTTGTTGTAAGTATTTAAGTTAGTTGGTGGATAGCCGCCGCACAGAGTAATACATGGTCGATAACTGTGTCCATGTCAGGTCATTGGATCAGCCTGAGGTATGGCGCCAGGTCACGCGTGATGACAAGACACTCCTCCTTGCGGTTCATTTTTGAATTTTTGGCATTGATCCAAAACGCTTCAAGAGTTTTTCGCGCTGATGTTTTCGATTCCTGCGTAAGGATAGTGACTCCTACCTCAAAATCTTCTCCGTTGTGTTCTTGCATCCTATGCGCGCCTAGTGGAGTATTTTGTTTTAGTTTAGATTTACCGACTAGGTGTTCTTTTATGCGGACGCAGAGCGGTCTACCCGTTTCGCCAACATATTCGTGCCCGCACGCTTTACAAGAGATCAGATAGACTGTACCCGAACTCATGCAATCACCGTCTCTACCATTTGGGCAAATTATGCAGTTTTTTGTTGTACATAGACGGTCGTACAGGCGGTTGCGAACTAGCTGGCGTCTTAGAGTGTCCGGTGGTATTTCTATCACTCTTACGGAATTCTCTAGACCGGCCCGTGTTAAGCAGCGTTTTATAGCTGCACTTATTTCGTTTGAAATAAAGGGCAACAGGAACGGAGCCTTGTTTTCGCTAGAATTATCGCTCTGGGGCGTGGGATTTCCTCGATGCCTATCCTGAGAATCCTCGAAACTGGCGCGGCAAATAGCCATTTCAAATGGCTACGAAACTGTAGCTTCTATGTCGTCCAGTTACTTGATTGTAAGCGTTCAGCCAAATCGACGTGTATTGTGCAATCCGCGATTACACAACTATATCAACAAGCGTAGGATCAAATATGATTACGTGTATACAGAAGATTTACGTAGGTCTGATTTAGCGAAAACAGAAGCAACAAATTATCAGAATCTGGAAAGAATTAAAAACTAACAAAAAAACTAACGAATATAAATAAAACCTATGAAAATGCAAGCAGAGTAACAAAAGTTGCAAATATTGATGAATATGAAAGAAATGAAATGAAAGAATAGCGCGCATGAGTTGACCGTCGGGTAAGACTTAAAATACGGTCTACTGTTTTTAGCGCTGTTTTTGCGTCTTCGCTTAGTCATAAAGTGTTGTAGCCTAAAGTTCCAAATTTAACCTTTTGATTCATCAGAAAGAAAAAGAAGAGTTTCCAAATTGACTGATGAACTAACCCGTTTTGTAAAAAATTTGAATATTATGTATTTTCAATCGTTAAAGATCGGTTCGTGCAGCATTTTTTTTTTTTTGAAGGACATTCTTAGGACTCAATCGTTTCGTTCGTTCGCTATTAAAGCAGCTTTTTTCAACTTTCTTAAAAATTTGTTCTCTAAAATCTCCATTATTACATAACATATATATTGGCGGACACAGAAGAGGTCAGAAAAAACAACTTTTTGCGGTTGAATTTAAAGCTCTCGAAAGACCAACGATCTTTATGCAGCTGATTTCGTCCTGAACTTAGGTTACCCTTCAAATTTTGCGTTGAACGAGGCTACAGGGGTATGTGCGGATTGCATAGTGTTTTTAGCGACCCTTCATTGAATCACACCATTCACACCTGCGACTTTGAGTCACTGGATAGCTTCATATTCCAGTGATCGAGGAATTGAAGTCCTTGTGGGAGAGACTTTTCTCTATTATTCACGTAAATTGTCTTACTTATTAATATTTACTTGTTTTTTAGAACTAACGTTTAGGAATGTCATCAATATAGAACTGTTTTAACAATTTAAACTCAGGCATGGTAAATCCTCGACAACGCGTTGGAGGAAGGGTTGGTGTCCTCCAGGACGACATCTCGTTTGTTCAACTACTTCGCTGCTTGGAGACTCGTTGTGATAAACAAAACAAAAAACGACGAAAGAATCATGGGATGCACAAAAGCGAAATTTCATCTCGTTAAAAACTAAGACCTGTTTAGCAAGAAAAAATCTACAAATTTTGAGATTTTTATAGCAACTAGTAAAATTCACAATGATCTGAGATATCTGAGCTTTAAATGAGATGGAGTGTAATTATTTTCGGGCACTAACACATTGAAATTAATACATAAAGGTGCTAATCTGCGAACCGACAAACAATGGATGTGATTTTAACTTTATCGCAACTCAATGTTTTCGTTGTTGTTGTTACAATAGTACTTCATCATTACATTGCAATGCAGTCCAACACTAACAGTTCAAAATTGCAGCAGCATTGTCATATACTTTTTTCTAACTCGGTTACAGCTCCCGTGTCCTTCCTTCTCCTTAGTGAAAACAAATCCACGAAGAAAAAATATGAGCGAGGTCTCTGGAATCTCGTAAAGTAACGAAAAGAGAGTTTGAAAAAACAGTAGGGATATCGAAGAAAATATCACCACCAGTGAATAATATGCAACTCTTGTAAGGCGTCCACGAAAAACGGAGAGTTGCAAGAAGATTGCTGTTATTTTATAATTTTCATGATAAGAAAAGCATCATCTACCTAGAGATAAAAAGCAAACCAGTAAACTACCTTTTGATCATTTGGTTGTTTTAGTTAGTTTAGTGTTACAGTTTCAACTTATACAAGTGAAGTGATCAGCATACAATTGGTCACGGAAGCGATTCTTGGCGGGAGTTTTACAAAGGGAAAGCATAAAGGTCAATTTTTTGCAACCGAATTAAGACGGCACCCTGATCTCACCAGGCAAAAAGTTAATTACTAAACCAATACAAAGGTGTATTTTTTTTCGAAAGAGTTTTATAACTCCTATATTATATGAACTTGGAAATTGACTTCATAGGGACAATTTTGCCCATAGAACGACCATTTATCAGCTATGTTCTGCCGGATGTGGGTCGATTAACAATGTGCCGCCGGTTTCAGTGCTTTTAGTTCAATCTTTTTTGTTCATTTTGATCGACCCTGCGCTTCTAAAGGATATCATTGTCGAATAGCAGACACACTCAGGATACCTCGATGTGATTTTTTTTCTCTTTGCAAACAACGATAGCCCTCGATCGGAACGTGGAAATGCCAACGACGTGATTCTCCGATAACGAATCATGAGCGTCGATGAGTCAACGATTTAGTCTTTCTCCGTATTTAAGCACCACTCACTCACTCTAGCACTGATTCGATCCGAGCCGTCCACAACGACAACAATCCTCAAATGCACGACGTCTACTCACCTGTAAGTCGTCTTTGGATTTCCTTCAAAAGAAAAAAGCTCGCAAACCAATACAAGTGCCTATCATATCGATTGAACTTCGTTTACCATTCTTGTCCAGTCATTCCATTTATGGGCACCAATCACTAGTAAAAACTTTTTAATAGAATCACTGATAGTTTTGAATATTTGCGTGTAGGTCTGCTCACTGCTTAAAGACTTTTCATCTCGATCACAGATTTCGTTAGATGCCGCTCCAGTAGAATCTTTCTGGAGGCCTGAGATAGCAATCATAGGGCATTTCCATGTAAAATTGAAGAAAAGAGTTAGTTTGATCCTTTCTGGGGAGTAACGCGTTCACCACCACACCGCGAGGGTCCTTCGTTTCCTCTTCTTCTCAGCTAGTTCAATCGATCACTTGCCATCAACAATCACCTGTCAAAGGGATTGATCTACGGAGCCCACATCGGCATCGGTAAAAGCGCGTTCGTTCACTACTGCAGAAACCTGAGGTCCAGAGTTTGCAAATACCTCGGCATCATTGAAGTTATCCGTTGATAATAATTTGTTTTTCAGCGGATAACCCACCCTGCAGCAGTCGGTATTTTTTTAGCTAGCGCATAGCGAATAACAAAACAGTAGTTTTGAAATTGACCGTCATTTAACGTGCTATTATAGAAGGCAGAAAATAAAAAGTAAACGTGAATTTAACTACAGCCCCAGCTTAACTGGGTTCAATGCCGATGTGGGTTCCCCAGATCAATCCTGTTGACGGGTGATGGCTGATGGCAAGTGATCGATAGAACTAGCTGAGAGGCAGGCGAAGCGGACCCGCATGGCGTGTTGGTGAACGCGTTACTCCTCAGAAAGGCCAATAGCACGTTGATTCCTCACCGCAGGCGCCTGCGGTCGGAGTTTTGCAAATATCTCAGCATTACAGAAGTTATATTTCGCATTTATATATTTTATTTTTTATTTATACTTGTTATATTTATATTTTATATTGTATATATTTATATATTTTATTTTATATATTTATATTCGTTATATTTTATCTTGCCGTTAAAAAGAATAGGCAGTAAATAAAAAGGTTAAGAGAGTTAGTTTGAGACAGGTCTGGTAGCAATCTCACCATCGCCAGCGGAGAGGTGAGAGGTTTGGTAGGAGTGCTCAGAGGTCCAACCGGAGCATTAATAGGTTAGCGCTTTTGCATAATGAACACGATCACTACCACGGCGTTACCAGATCCCTTTCCGAACAATTAAACTGAATAAGACTGATATGGTTTAGACTTAAGAATATCTGATAAGTTTTGCTATTGTTAAAAGTTTAATGATACTACCGAGTGCTTTTGCTCAATAAGCCTCTCTGCTCTGTTGCCTTATAGAAATCCATGCCAGTGTTGGTTTTCACGACTTTTCTCTACAGCATTCTTTAAGAAACATTCGACGACCTCATTGATTCAAAGATATACTTATAGCGATAAATAGCAGGTAGTAATAAGAGGATGAAGCTCACGGCGTTGATCGGTCCCTGAGGTATGCGCCATGTATTGGACTTCACTAAGCATCATTTCCAGGAGATTGAATCTATATCTGGCGTTAACAATGACTCGCGGTGGCCTACCGTGTATCGAACTAGTGCTGCTATCCTCCCAGATAAGTCTGGTACCAATTCACCGACCCCGGGGGTTGGAAGGTTGGTGGACTATGGGCGCGGGAATCGATTCCACGTGTGTGTTGCAGGAGGCCTCCGACCACTGCCGTACGCGCGCTAGCACATAATAAGCATTGCTAGTTGCAAATGAACAGAAACACCGCATGTTAATCTTTTTCATAATCTCAGTTCAAACAATTGGTAATGTTTTGTCTAGGTGATATCTTTCTTGAATAAAGAAAAGTTTGGAGTAAAAATCTCCCTTAAACGTTTAAGAATTTGGTTGAACTAGTGTTATTGTAGCATATCAGTCCATCAATTAATGAAAAAAAACTCGGAACAAGTTACGACGTTTAAGAGAACTGATTTCAGGTTGTACCCGGAGCAATTCCAATCAACGAGCCGCTTAGATCTGGCTGCAAGATCGACATCCATGGCAGAGTGACCAATTGTCACCATAAGTAAGCCCATATACTAACTCCTTCGTAGTAGCTTTAAGTGAAAAGTTATAACACAGAACGCGATATCGTCTAAAACTTCCAGCAACTTCTCCATCGAACTTTTATCAGGACCGCACATTGTTCTTCATGTGGACTTCCGCTTTCATCACGAGCACGTAATCGTGATGAATTCGGCAAGTTACGGAAACTGGGGAGTTGAGGTACATATCACATAGCACACGATAACTTTCCACTTCATGTCATTAGTAAGAGCTACATGAAAGGGTATTCGCAAAAAAATTGGTGCTGTGTTTTAGGTCAGACACGATAATCCACTCCATCACGATGATACTTTCTATCTCCACATTCACGCGCATCATGATCATTACAAGGTTAAGTATACCAGTTTTCTACTACAAGTATTGCTTCATAATATCAGTTCACTCAGATTGAACTGAATGGTCATCTTCTGACCAACTACGCTCATCGTTTCCCAATGGAAGCTGTGCAAGCTCTCGGTTTGAAAGGTGATGTCACCATCGAGAGAGTTCACTTCTCCGGATTTCATTTCAACATCGGTCGGTCTTTATCACAAAGGTTTTCGATTCTTTCTTGATTCACAGTGCTTTGATAGATACCTACTAATTCTGAATTGACATAACAAGTAGATATTTGTGTACCTAACTTTTCAGAGCCGATCTATTTGAAAATTCCCACAGTCACTGGTCAGATACCACTTGACACTTGACACACTTGAACGGCCCGTCCTCACAGGTTGTGCGGGCCTCAGCATAATCACCATTTATCGGAGATTTGCTGGTTAAGCCATTGTGGTTTTCTGGAACCCCGATTTCAGCCTGGCGAAAGTCTGCCACAGGCCTTCACCACCACAGGCAGTGGCAGCCGTTGTGGATCAGAGGGAGATTTACCACCATGCGACTTTGATACCAGGACGGTGGCGGATCCTGGTATTGGTTTACACTTAGCTAAGCTTCCTGATGGAAGCGCCGGACTCCTTCTCAGCTCGGGAGACCCTACCGGGGGACGGATTCCCCCGCTGTACATCGCAATCCGACACTCATGAACACCTCGCATCCACGACGAGGCGGTAAACCGTTGGGAGAGATCAGATACCGCAATCAATAAATGGAAAACAGGCGTTTTTGAGCTATTTTCGCTGACATATCTTTTTCTGTCGTTATTTTTAAAACATAAATGAAATGGAATCCCGATTTAAAATTGATTGAGAGAAGTGATTCTGGTAATAAAAAAAAATAGTGCCGTGAAATCACTTGATGATATAGACGAGCATTTTAGTACAAGTGATGACTAACTTTGCAAACATACAAATACATATTCAATTATAAATACTGTTATGTATGCATATAAACGTTTATACTTTTGGCATTCTTGAAACTATTTTAGTTTGCAGACTGGAACAGTGAGCACGATTATGGACATCGAGGTTATTCTGGATACGGTACTGAAGAATATGAACCACCTTGCGTAAGGACTTTTCTTCGGTTTTTGCATTGCAGGATGGGTGTTGACCAATTTTTTATTGTTTACCAAGAGTTCTTACGTGCTAACTGGTAAAATAAGTCAAGCATGCTGCATTTCGTGGTCTAATTCCTTTTGCAGTTTGACCCCAACCACTCCTACAACGCCTACTTCTAAAAGGGAACGATTCTTCTTAGAAGGAAGAAGGAAATACACGCTATATTTCTGACTAAATCGCTTCGAGTCTAATAAACGCTTGTTTCGGGGCAACTAGATTTAATTGTCTGGCTAAAAAAAGCCAAATGAGTAGAGAGGAATTCATTCAATATGCCTTCCGCAGAGCGTAGTCTGCTGCCTACTTTGCACTATTATTAGTTGGGCAGCGTTGTGTCTGCTAATATAACCGTTCCACAGCGAGAACAGCAAAAAAGGTAGTTAATACATACTTTTGTTATTTCAAAGCAGTTCTTAAGACGTTTTGGAGAAACAACAAATAGCGTTTGTAGTTCTCACGACTGAGTCGTGCCAGCAACAACTTTATTCACTACACAGTTATTAAAGAGGTAAACGAAAGATAGGAGAAAGCTGAAATGTCTTGAATACCTGTTACTCTATAATCAGTGAACTTCTTCTTTCTTCTACCCAAATCGACAAGGCTTCTTCGCTTTTGAAATGGGTTTTCTGAGCGACGATGGTGTTAGTGATCAACCTCTCTCGTTTAGCTTTGAATCTACGATGACCCGTCCAGTAGATTCGTTTGTTTGTTGAATTTCATTTATTTAAATTCCAGTAAAAAGTAGCAGATTTTTGCTACTTCTTATACTAATGTCGACAAGTTCTTTGCACTATGAGAGATAACACATGACAGGATGGTAGACCGTTTAGAGATTGAAGAAATTGGCTACATTGTGATTTAAGCTACGGCTTCAGCTTAACTGGATTCAACGCCGATTTGTGCCTCGAGATCGATCCGGTTGGCGGCTGATTGCTAGCGGCACTTATAAAACACGGCAGAAAAACAGGCAAAATGAAGAGCCTGGATGGCGGTGTGGTGAACACGTCAGCCCACGAAAGGGCAATAATGGGCTCAATCCTCACCGCAGTCACCTGTGGTCCGAAGTTTTGTAAATATCTCAGCATATTTGAGGCTATGTTTCGCATCACACCCTGTCATAAACAGAATAGACAGTGAATAAAAAAGTTAATAAATTTTATCAGTACCTCTACTGTCTTTTTGCTTTAGGCTTCTCCTGTTTCAGTTTAACGGGGTCGAATGCTGGTGTTCCAGAAAATGAGCGTCAAGAACAAGATTGACTGTTGTCGGTTGGAGTAAAGGGTTTTTCAGACAAGTTTCTACAGAAAATTAAGCCCATGGGTTAATTAAGACAAATATTTAGGTCACACCATCATTGGTAACCTGGAAACACCTTGCCGTATTTCTTTATTTCTAATCTCATAATTTCTTCGCTATTTTACCAGTTACTGATTTTTCTTCCTGGAAAGATATATTTGGAGTTATGTTCATGCCGCTTTTACCTATTGACAATTGCGCTGGCTTTATTACCAGCAATGAATTCTTCGATAACTAGCGCACCTTAAAGAACTTAACAATGGAACTACAGAGGCCTTGTGCCGAATCTAAAAGGGATATAAATTTGCGTTGAAATGTTGAAAAGAGATTTGTGAAAATGCTAATAATTAAACACAGTATTAGAGAAGTAATTCGAAGAAATAGACAGCTTTCATCTACTGCTCATTTTTTTCCACGGCCAGGTATTACGTGAAATACAACTGCAGTATTGCTGAGATATTTGCAAACGATGGATCCCAGGTCAGATTGAACAGCGACAACCATTTACGGGTGCTCAAGTATTACGCAAAGCACTGAAGCCCTTGCTCTGCCTTTCTCTCAGCCAGCCAGTTTTTTTTACCCATTTTGAGAAATTTTAGCATCAGTTGAAGAATCTGAATTCTGATGCGCAATAAAGGGCACCATCTGCTCAAGTGAATTCCGTCTGTTAAGTCACTTTGGTACTTAAGAGCACAATTTTCGAAGACAAAAAAAGGACCTTGAACAAAGTTGGTAAACTCGAAAAGCTAACTAGTTTATCCTAATATAGGATAAGGAAAACTGAAACTGGCTGGTAATGAAGTGCAGATTCTAGTGGTGCTAAGCGATATTCATTCACTTGAGTCACTATTGTAACCACAACAAAGAGAAATTTGGTTCTATAAAGTTCAGAGGTGAGGGTGGATCGAGGACACGAGGTTATGGATTGACAGATGACAAATATATTTGTTCAGTTGGTTTTTCGCCATTGATTTGTTTGCAATCATTGACAAGTCAACAACAGTCAAGCACATTAATTGATATCAAAAGCAATAATGATGCTATCGTTTTTTTGTTGGTCATAAAACAGAGCGTAAAATTCCTTAGTGAAGCAGAAATGTTGCATTTCTGAAAGAAATACAAGCGATTTAAAAAGAGAGCTTCCTAATGTTTTTAGTGAGTCTTCATAATAATGCTTACAAAGGGAGATAATGATCTGTAGTGGACAACAGATTTTCATGATATTAAGAAAAGGTTACTAAATGTATACTAGCAAGAGACGTAAGAGGAACTAAGTACGTCGCTGACACGAAGAAACTGCATCCATTTTGAAGATAGTCTAAAAATTCCATAACGAACGAAATATCCCAGGTAACCGACAACAGTGGTAAATGAACTAAAAATAGTTCCCAGGATCGACTTTCTATTAACCTCGGCATTGGAATATGAATGCGTCGTTTTCTTGTTCAGCAATCGCAAGGTTTTTAAACAGCATACATTTACTTCCATAGAAAAACACAATACAATACAACGCTAGCTGACGTTTCGGCAGTATCGCCTTCTTCAGAGCCGCTTTTTACGTGCTTCCAATGAGGAAGTCACGAAAAAGTGGCTCTGAAGAAGGCGATACTGCCGAAACGTCAGCTACTATTGTATTGTATTGAACTAAAAATGTTGCAATTTTGCAAAACATTATCATATCTGAAATGTCAGTTTAATTATCTTCTTAATATTACACGCTTCCTATTTATAAAGAAAAAATATCAGATGGACTGAGAAGCTGGTAAGGCAAAAGATCATTTAAAAATCTAATGAATGTCCTGTAAGATCGAAGTACAGCTTATGCTATCCAATATAGCGAGCGACAAATTTCAGACTAAAGCAGTTAAGAGCCTATTTTGTCATTCAGAATCCACTAACTCACTGAAGCAGCCGTCTGAACAGCACGGAAAGGCTCAGTCCAGAGCGAAATACTTGATGGAGCCATCGAGTTTTGTAATCCTATGGAACCTAAAGCGAAGTCTGATCCAGGAATAATTATAGAATGACTTAAGATATAACACTAATTTGATTTCTTGATTTCGGTGGATTTCATTCGTCATCTCTCGTGAACACATGTATGGTCACTTATGCAACAAACGGTGAGAATTGTTTAAACAAACACATTCTCAGTTATATAACTGATCCTTATTACGACTATATATAGTACATCGAATTAGATGGATAACATTTCGTAAAATGAGTCCAGGCTTCGAAGAAGATGAAGTCGCGGGAACTCAGCCGTGGAACCACAACAACAACAACAACAAAAACAACCGATACCAACCTCGCTTCACCTCAGCAATGGCGGTTCGTAAAAAACATGTATACTAATTAGTCATGGAATACTTGATACTTGATGATTGCCCGTCCTCAGTGTAGGACCCAGTATAATCTCCATTTTTTGGAGATTTGCTGGTTAAGCCATTGTGGTTCCCTGGAGACCCGAGCTCAGCCTGGCCAAAGTCTGCCCCAGGTCTTCACCACAAGGGGCAGTCACAGCCCTTGTGCATCAGTGGAAGATTTGCCACCATGCGACTTTGATACCAGAACGTTAGTGAATCCTAGCATTGGTTTACTCTTAGCTAGGCTTTCAGATGGAAATGCCGGACTCCTTCTCAGCCTGAGAGACCCTGCCTGGGGTCGAATTACGCTCTGTACAGCGCACTCCGACACCCAGGAACACCTCCCAGCCACGACGAGGCGGTAAACCGTTGTGAGGAGTCATGGAATAATGTTCTTGAAAG